TTGTTGTATTTCTTAGTTCTCTTGGTGTAGACGTATTTTTGGACTTCTTCTTACTTTCAAAGGTTACGTAGATTGGAATTTTTCGGGATCTTTTTGGTTCTTGCTTCGTTTTGCCAATCAATTTAGCCCTTGTTTGAGACTCATTTTTGTGAAAAAAAAATGCATTTTTGAATAGTGTATTAATGGAAAATGTGTAGTTAAAAAATAAGGAAATATTTTGGATTTACGTCTAATATTGTTTTATTAAGAATGTGTGGTTGAAATGATGTCAAAACACTGTTTAAAAAAAATAATGGTCTCAAACAAGGGATAAATTGTGGATTTTGCTAATAGTGGCTAACTGGAAATCCAATAAAATGGGAGTCAAATAGAAAGTTTTGGAATTTTGCAAGGCTCGCCATCTTGTTTTTTAATAATTGCAAGTCTATTCTATAAGTTACCAAAATCTTGCATATTAATCCCTGACGTTTCAGATTTGTGCAAGCTGATTTCCGAGATTTTAGAATCTTCCAATTAGTCCCTGAACTTTCTAAAAAGTTAAATGTGGTCCATTAACTTTCAGATTGGAGCAAGTTAGCCCCTTCCACTGTGATTGCTAATGTTAGAGTTACAATCATGGGCTCAAGTTACAACACCCTCATGTTGGGGGAAAGATTGTTGATGATTAAGCTATTGGCCCCTTCTTGTTTGGAAGAAATCCTATTAATATATATATATATTTTTATAAATCAAATTTATTTCCATAACATTTTCTTATCCTCCTAGTTCACATGGTTCTTGTTTTTTTGGCTCTATCTTTGAGTGGATTGTAGGTAATCACCTAAATTTTTGGAGTGCTAGTTTTTCTGCTCGTGGGATTTATGCCTCAAGTCTTGGTGATGTCATAGTGGATAATGATTTTCTTTTACACTAGCTTCTAGTTTTTAGTTGGCTTAGTCGACATATGGCCCTTGTTTGAGCTCCATTTTGGGGAAAAGAATGCATTTTCAATAGTAGATTAATGGAGAATATGTGGTTAAAAATTAAACAAAAGTTTTGAATTTACGTGTAATATTAATTTATTGAAGAATGTGTTGTTAAAAATGAATTTTAAAAAAATAAATTTTTAAAAGAATATGGCTCAAACAAGGGCATAATATAAATGCAATTCTGAAGTACCATTTAAGTAGTGAGAACGTTGGTTTGCTTAGATCAATTTAATTTTCAAACTCAATTTGATTTCTACAACACTATATTGAGCTTGTGTGTGGGGGAGGGGGTGTTCTTGTTTGAGCCTCATGTTTGTTAAAAAAATGCATTTTTGAATAGTGTATTGATGGAAAATGTGTAGTTAAAAAATAAGGAAATATTTTGGATTTACGTGTGATATTGTTTTATTAAGAATGTGTGGTTGAAATGATGTCAAAACACTGTTTAAAAAAAATAATGGTCTCAAACAAGGGGTAAATTGTGGATTTTACTAATAGTGGCTAACTGGAAATCCAATAAAATGGGAGTCAAATAGAAAGTTTTGGAATTTTGCAAGTCTCACCATCTTGTTTTTTAATAATTACAAGTCTATTGTATAAGTTACCAAAATCTTGCATATTAATCCCTGACGTTTCAGATTTGTGCAAGCTGATTTCCGAGATTTGTTGATGATTGCTTATTGGCCCCTTCTTGTTTGGAAGAAATCCTATTTCATTTTTTATTTTTTTTAAATCAAATTTATTTCCATAACATTTTCTTATCCTCCTAGTTCACATGGTTCTTGTTTTTTTCGCTCTATCTTTGAGTGGATTGTGGGTAATCACCTAAATTTTTGGAGTGCTAGTTTTTCTGCTTGTGGGATTTATGCCTCAAGTCTTGGTGATGTCATAGTGGATAATGATTTTCTTTTACACTAGCTTCTAGTTTTTAGTTGGCTTAGCCGACATATGGCCCTTGTTTGAGCTCCATTTTGGGGAAAATAATGCATTTTCAATAGTAGATCAATGGAGAATATGTGGTTAAAAATTAAGTAAAAGTTTTGAATTTACGTGTAATATTAATTTATTGAAGAATGTGTTGTTAAAAATGAATTTTAAAAAAATAAATTTTTAAAAGAATAGGGCTCAAACAAGGGCATAATATAAATGCAATTCTGAAGTACCATTTAAGTAGTGAGAACGATGGTTTGCTTAGATCAATTTAATTTTCAAACTCAATTTGATTTCTACAACACTATATTGAGCTTGTGTGTGGGGGAGGGGGTGTTGAAAAGTTTATCAAATCAATCTCGATAAATATTGTTAGATTTTATGAAAATTAGTTGTAAGTGAGTGAATATCTTAGGAGATTTTATTATTATTATTATTATTATTTTGTAGTTATCAATTTATTATTTTTGTTCATTAACTTCTCCTTTATAATCTACCAATAGACCATTGTAAATCACGTTTGATATATCAATTAAAAAATTACATTAATATCTTAAATTCTACAACTGATTTTTCTCCGCTTCGCATTACAATGCCAAATTACTTCTCTTAAGTTATTGTCTATTGGCCGCAAGTACTGCATGCTTCAAATTGGTGAATCAATTCCTGCTAGGTCCAATTTTGTAAATTAGCAAAATTAGCAAATTCCAAACTTGTAATGGCAATTTTCTTAGTTAAAATCATGTTCTAGTTGAATTGTAATAGGGGTTTATCAAATTCTAATCAAAGTTAAATTATGAGTAATGGAGTTAAAGTCAAAATAGTTAAGGATTTATAGTATAATCCTTAGAGGAGTCAAAGATGTCCAAGAAAATCATATATGATCAATGGAATGCAATTCGAAATCAAAAGAGTATCAAAATGTTGCATAAATTTTGCTCCGAATTCTTGATCATAAATTGTGACGCATTTTCCACATAGAAAATATTCAAATATGAAAAATGCTATTTCTAAAAGAATTATATTGCTTTGAATTAGATTTTTAATGCACTTTGAATTGCCATAATCAAATACTAGGAGAGAAAATTATGAAAAAAAGATTGACTGCTGCTCAGCTGCCACTCGCCTAGTGCTGAAGCGGTATGTTTATCTAAGGAACAATTAAATTCGATTTTCAAGTGGTATATGTGTGTGTGTGTGTGTGTGTGTGTGTGTGTGTATATAGATCCAAACATCCTTTCATTGATTCCTTTATTCAACCACAATATTATTTGTTCATTATTCAACCTATATATTGATCCAGCTAGTAGAGCCTTGTTATAATCATATTTGAGCCATATTTTTTCAAAAAAATACATTCTTAAACAATGATTTGACATCATTTCAACCATACATTCTTCAATAAAACAATATTACACACAAATTCAAAACTTTTCTTTATTTTTTATCACATATTTTCCATCAATACAATATTCAAAAATACATTCTAAAAAAAATATTGTGGCTCAAACAAGGGCTATAAGTCAAGAGTTTGTTCTTAAAGCCAAAAACATATTCTAATATCTCTTACATCAACCTACAAGATCAAAACACATAAAGATCATTGATCAAACACCAAAACAAAATCCTATCTCGAGTTTTTGAGTTTTGGGAAGAGACACTTGAAGTTTCAACACTCAAGGACGAGGTTCATTCTTGTTGATCCACACGGAGAGAAAAGTAACTCAGAGTTCTGAGAAGTGCGAGAGTACATGATCATAGGACTTCTTCGATGATTTACAGGTTAGATGGTCGGAGTCAATTAAGGTTTAGTAGTATCTGAACTAATTGTAATTTAACCTTTTTAGTGAATTTTATTGGCAAGTTTTCTCAGAAGTTTTTTATCCAATTAGGAATTTTCTTGCGTGATCATATTTGGTTTTCTTGATTACTTTTGATCTTTATTTATTTTATTTGATTGACACACAAGATTATTTAAATTAAAATAATTACATTAATCATCTAATAACCAATTAACAAGTGACTTGTTGCTTATAATTTTTCTAATTCAGCATTTTGGTCTAAACAACTATAATTTTCAACAAGTGGTATTAATTCAGTACGTACTTATAAATATTTTCAATTCCTATGCAGTGAGAATAGTGTGGCGAGATTTACAGCTCAAATGCTACATGTATTATGTATATTTTAATTTAGTTTCTTATTGAAGACTCTTGTTGTTCACAAGTATCTCCCTACTTGTTGCCTTTCTTTTTTCATAAAATAATATTAAGGAATGAAAAGAAGCTAACTTTTATCGATAATCACTTATCAAACTGTGTACCAAACATGCATAATGTTTGATTGATCCAGCTTATGAATGCAGTGGAGGAGCCAATATTGTTCTTGTAAATCCAAGTGTCAATTGATATTCAAGAAAGCCTGTGCCCCTTTGGTTTATGCGAGTGTTAAGGTACACTTTAGATATTTCTAATGAGCAATGGTGGTTTTGTTCAACCATTATCTTTGATTAGATAGTTTACTTCACCTGCTTCCAGCTTTAAATTTATTTTACTCAGATAATGAGAATATTTGGGAATCTAGTTGTCACTTTTGATGTGATGAAGCCAAGTATTCTCATTTTTTGTAATGACGAACTTAGGAATTTAGACATTGATAACCTCAAAATCGAAATTAACAAATTCACTTTACTTGGTCAAAGTTTTATCTCCCTAAAGTCAATGAAATTTGCTGAAAATAAGATTTGAGAGAGAAATTTACTATTTGAAAAGTGAGTATATCCAATTTTTTCTTGTCCACTTTTTGTCTTCACTTTTTGCTTGAATTCATGACAATTTGTAGATATTTGATGAAGCCAACATGATAATTTTGTCGTTTTCTCTTCCGCGACATGTGAAGGTCATTAATTAGCGAGTTTTTAACTGAATATGTTACATTTACATTTTATTCATCGTGTCACGTATTCTTCACTCATTGATTCTTTTAAAAAAGTTTAACACTCTTATTCACATACTTAAATAATGGTTTCGCTGAGTTGAAATAGCCTGCAAAAACAAATAAGAGTATTTTTGCTCGTTCAACAATTTGTACTTGCACGCCTCGTTTGCTCATAGTTCATAATCAAGTTCATGTTTACGCTTTCATATTAGAAAGTATAGGTTTCCACACGCGAGCTCAAGATAAGGGTACAACGGTATTGGTGAAAATTCTCGCCACTAACTTTGACTTTGATTTTAACTTCTACACAATTTCTAATATCGAATTAACTCAAGTGGATATCTCCACCATTGTCTTCATAAAATTAGCTGATAACAGAGGTATTATCCAACTAATCTGATGCTGGACTGAGTATTTGGTAGAAAGTTGCAGAATAGTTCAAATATTCCATAACCTATATGCTGGATTGAGAGAGTCCCAATTCCCTCAAACTGTGCCACACATTACCTACATTATACTAGCTATTCCCGGGTCGGATATATCATTTGCAAAGTGCTAATACATTTAGCCTGGTCTAACAGGAATCTCCACTGTTATGAACATATTTGTTGGACGGATTTCCCGTTCGCAAACAAGTTATCGGAGGGGTAGTAGACGTTCTTAGTTCCCCAAAAGTTTGCCAACAGTAAGGTTCTTCCAATCTGTTCTTTTCTTGTAATGGATTTAGCTCTATAGTTGTCAATGTTACACCTGAGCACGGCGTGGAGTCACTGCAGGCAAAATGAACAGGTTTTGAAGTATATGTTCCTTTTATAAACTGGTAGGAGATGCCTGATACAGCTACAGCTGATGTCTTGTTTGGGCATTTGTGCCCGTCGCAATAATACTGGTCGATCATTATAGGAATTTCAACTCCAGAAACTTGAATATTTGAGAACATCACTCCTTGCACCGAGCCTGAGCCACCCTGCACTTGCAAACAAGCCTAATCACAAACTGAATAAGCAAAAAGGCAGGGAGGGTGAGTTGGTCTGCCGACTGAAATGTTTATATCCTTATGGTTTCATAATTTGTGGTGAATTTTTACTTTCGGAGGTCCATCCTTTCATGCTGAGGGAAGGTGTAACAACCTAGCCTCTGTGCCTAAGTCGTTAATTTACGAACCATCCGCTCTATATTTCTTAAGGGAAGGTCATATATTTGAATTTTCGGGACGCGATAAAAATTCATGAAAAGTAAGATGGGCTCAGGTTCTTCTAGAGTTGGCAGTACGGAAGTTGATGCCACAGAGGCCGGGTCATTATAGAAGGTATCGTCTGTCTAGGAAAACTTTACCTGCCACGTCTTTATTCTTACACCAGTCAATGTATTCTGCAGCGAGGAGTCGCGAACAGTAATATTTGAAACGCAGGCTTTAGTACCGGCCTTCCCCAGCCCCCCAATGCTGAATCCGTGACCAGGTCCACAATTCACATTGTGTATGTATACACCGGAGCATCCTGTTTGTATGGATATACAGTCATCCCCTGTAAAATATCATTTAGAAGTCAAAAATTCTTGTTCGAAATAAGGATCATTTACCTTAAATCAGTAATTTGAAATCAGCTACACGAATCATTTTTTCACCGTCCAGCTCAGTTCATTACTAGATCAACAAGAACGTCTAAAGCAACTAAATCCTAAGCAACTACAATAAGTCATGTCCTTTTGGTCTATCCTTCCAGCTTTTGACGTTTTCTACTAAAACCGTGTCACTTTTTTGAACTGAAGCATCTTTAGGTCTACAGAAAATATGTCACTGACGTTCTTTTCTTAATGTGAGTGGTCGTAGCCAAGTAAATTTTACTTTTAAGCTTAGCAAAACATGCTTTCATTTGTTCGACTAGCATTTGTTTGATAATAGGAATTACCACAAGCAAGAGAGGTGCTGTGAATGACCACATCTTGGGAATTCTGAAGGTGGATTCCGTCTGTATTAGGGCTGTCACCAGGGGACGAAATGCTCATGCTAAAAACTTGAACCCCAACACAATCGTCAAACTTGAGGTGTGTCTGTGGGCTGTTTTGTATGGTTATCCCGGTAACTATGACATCAGAACTTCCATAAAATCTAAGTGCCTGCTCAGTGGAGATTAAAATCAAAATTTTAGTAGATTTTTCATGGAAGTTGATAAAATACGTGGTTGAAAAGTTGTGGAACCCATAAAATATGTGGTTGAAATTAATTGTTAATTTTGACTTAGATTAAAATTTATATTTTAGTTTCTACCAAACAGGGGCATAATTCTGACTCAGAGTTTCAGAGAGGAGAGCTTCATGTGTGGTACTTACAGTTGGTTTTGTGCTTGGCATTCCTCCCGCTGCATCTGTGTATATCTGCTGGAAATTAAAGTACCTTAGGTAAGTTCTAGTTTATGCAAAAAGTAGTGAACAAGATTGGACGGGGACGAAAAATTTAGCTGATTTGTTCTTCTTTTGTGTTGTCTGGTGCAGACTAGTTCACCTTATCAAACATGCAATAAGTTTGAAACATTATAAAAATATAGATTTATTACCAAATCATCTGCACTATTATTTTCATCTGATTCTTCCAATGGATTGTTGTCTTTCCACCAGACTGAGCCTTGTCCATCAATAATTCCTTTACCTCTGATTGTTATTCCTTTGAGATCTTTAAATTCTATCCATTGTAAAAGACCTGATCCCCAACCTCCAGAACTACTGGGAGCAATGATTTTCCCATCCAACTGCAGGAGATCAGAAGAGGATAAAAAACAATGTCTAGAAGTCATAAAACTCTAATTCTATGAAAGTAAGCTCGAAATTGACGCGGAATATTGGGCAACAACGACACAAGATCAAGATTTGACGCCATTTTTTTTGGGTAGTGTAACTAGTTCTTTCTTGAGTTCCTACAAACTGAACAGATGCAAAATTTACCTGGAAAACAATTTTTGACTTGCAATTGGGTCCCGAAAATGAGATGGGTCTGACTAGAAATACAGACCCTGATGGAACCAGCACCGTTGATCCTTCCACCACACAAGCAGCTGTCCAAGCTTGTTCAAATGCCTGCCAAGAATGGGTAGACATGTTAGTCTGTTCAATAGTAATATTCTTTTCCGCCTTCAAATCTGTTAAGGTTCCATTTTCAAATGTTCTTGATTAGGACGTACGAAATAGTATATCGGTTCACAAGTTTTTAACTATTAGCGTTCTCCTAAAACAAGAAAACTCACATGATATATTTGATATGTTCGACTGGACAAGACTACGCATGTTAAACATGTCCAAGAAGCTTTAAGTTATACCTTTGTGTCGTCTGCTCTTCCGTCACCTTTAGCACCATAACTTAAGACATTGAAGGTTGCACCACTGTCTAAAAGGGAGACACTTTGGCCTAAGATAGGTGCATTGGCTTTTCTATGCCTCCATTGCTTTTGTTGTGTGGCAATGCAAGATGCATTGTCTGAGGACCAGACAAGAAATGCAATAAGAATGACAAACCTAAAATTCATCATGCTAAACCTTAACATTTATGTAGTTTTAGAGAGAGACAGTGTGTTTGTGTGTGTTAAAAAGGTGGTATCAGATTGGTATTTATAGTTGGTGAAAGCAGCCCAAAATCACTGTGGAGGCATAAGCCACACAGTTAATAAGCTCTTTTGGAAATTTGTGCTTTCATAAGGAATAAATTTCTTATGCTAAGGCAAAAGGAAACTTTTTTTCCTTGGCTTCATATTTATATGTCATAAATTAATTGTTTGTTGTGATCTCAATTTATTTCATAACTATATCATTAAGATTGTCCCTTTAAAACTTAAATTACTATTTTCTACAATTTCTTCTCAAATTTAAATTAAGATCTAGCCCTGTTTGGTAGAAATAAAAATATAGATTTTAATATAAGTCAAAGTCAACAATCTATTTTAACCATATATTTCCATGGGATCTACACTTTTTCTTCTAGACTTTTATCAAAATCTATTAAAAATCTTATATTCATCCCCACCAAACATGGGCTAGGTGTTTTTTTTTTCCTTCTTGTGACAAAGTGACAAGAAATATTTAAAATTGTTTTACTAATTATTATACAATTTTAGAGAGTACAGTACTAAAATTATTACTTTCTGAAAGAGCAAAGTGTAAAAAATTCCAAGAATATATACAACTGCATTTCTTTCAAATATTTTATACATTTACATCATAATAAGGAGGATCATAAAAATGAAAAAGTAAAACAACATGCAAATAGGTAAACGTCTGGTTCAAGTGGTAAGAGCAAAGTCTTAAGTTCCAGCCTTTTTCGTCGAACAGAAAAAAAATCTATTAATCCCCTTTTAAAAAAAATATATAAAAAAATTATCACATATTAAGCTGCATTTGGCAAATTTATAAATTAATTTATAAAGAGAAATAGTAGTAGAACTTATGAAATATGTAGATAATAAATAGGTACTGGTTATGATTGTGTGATTGAAATTAGTATCTGATTTTTATCGAGTTTACAAAATTATATCCAAATAGATTGTTAAATACTGTATAATCCGTAAGATTTTTCCCTTTGCTTTTATAGTGTATTTTTATTTAGGGGGCCTCGGAAGAAGGTTTCCTTCGCCTTCTTCATAAGCTGCATATGAAAATATAAGTTGCTCTTCCTTTCAATCATCTCAATCTTTACGTGAATTGCAAAGGATTAGTAAGCTCATCCTACGTGCAATGTTGTAGCTAATTCATTAAATTTAAGTATAACGTGAGAAAATTAAAAGGTTGAAAGACTTTTTTGATTACTTTATTTTTTTCTATTGGGGTGGAAGACGTGGTGAGCATGAATGTGGAAGAGAATTCATTAATTCACCACTTTTGTGCTTGTCCGTGAATTAAAGAGTATTATTGGGCAAAATATTATTCTATTTGACTATACAAATCTGGAAATTATGGAGCCTAAGCAATTGATCCGCCAGCCATTTGTGACAACGACCAAAAATTTGTCAAGGCTGCACGTGATTATAGTTTATAGTTCTTCAAATACAACTGAAATGACTCAAAAGATTTATATACATGTACATTCTTTTTTTTATTCTAAAACCAAGAGTCGAGTGTATGCAAACTCTTACTAATGCAAATTAAAAAGTAATTTTGATCATTTAACTCGATTTTAAGAGAGTTCATTCTCCAAATAGTCACTGAACTTTTTAAAAAGCTTCTAGAGAGTCACTTAACTTTGTAAATTGGGACCCTATACATCACTTGTTCAGTGATCCCAAAGGAATTTTTTTTTTTGCAAACTTCAGTGACTATTTAGAAAAGTTTGAAAGTTCGGTGAGCTCATGTGAACTTTTGTAAAGTTCAGTGACTATTTAGAGAAGTTTTGAAATTCGATGACCTCTTGAAAACTTTTAACCAAGTTCAGTGACTATTTAGATAATTAACTCATTTTAGGACAAAATGGGCCTCATCCAAATATAAACTAATATATGACGACACAATTTTATCTAAATTTGATATTCGAATTCTTTGCAATACTTAAACAATTATGCTAATTACTTCCTTAAGAGCATCCTTAAGAGACTTTTTAAACATGAGATGCTATTTATTCTAAAGAGTCATCACTTAAAATTATGCTTCAAGAGACTGTTTAAATTAACATTTTAATTTGGAGGGTGTGTTTGGTTCTTCAAATTTGGATAGCCAAACTCACTCTCTATAATTAAATATAATCAAAATCTTTTAATTTCAATGTAAGAAAATAATAAAATAATCTAGAGAAAAGTTAGTTAAACTAAAATATAGAAAAAAATAATAAATACTTTTTGGGAGTAGTTAAATTAAGAATTAATTGTTCCAATGGTTACTGAATTTAGATTCATGTCTTTGATTGGTTACTGAAATTTAAAATGTCGAGTTTGGCCACGAACTTTGAAAAATATTGTACATTATTCACTGAACTTTAAAAAATATTGTACATTATCCACTAAACTTTGAAAAATATTGTATGTTACTCACTATAAATTCGATATTTTTCAAAGTTCAACTGTTATATTAGTGAAACGTACGGCATATTTCAAAGTTCATTGGTCAAAACTCGATATTTTAAATTGCAGTGAGCAATTTAAGACATGGGCCTAAGTTCAGTGAGCAATCGAAAACATTGACCTAAGTTTAGTGACCAAAATTCGACATTTTAAACTTCAACTACCAATTAAATATATAGACTCAAGTTTAGTAACCATTCGAACAATTAACTCTAAAATTAAGTGTTAAATACAAATTTTTTTTTGGAATACTTCAAAATTTTAACTCTCTAAATTTATAGATGTTCACCAAATGATAGAAAATGCTCTTTAAAAATATAGAGTCTCTCGAAAATGCTCTATGCATTAAAGAAGTGCAAGAGAATAATATGATTGATGTTGTAAATGGAAAGTCCATTAAAGTTTATTGATGAATGACATTTGTACCCTTGTAGCCTTAGAAATCATTACTATCGTATCCCTGATTCTTACCTATAAATATAGGGCTTTGATTTTCAATAATACACACAAAAAGTTTATTGAGTTTTCTCTATTCTCTTTTCCTCTCATTTTATAACACGTTATTAGCACGAAACTCTTAGAAGGTAGTATTTTTTTTCATAATCATCTATCACGTATATCAAAATTAATTTGATAATACGTGAATTTTACATATACATATGTTGAATCTGCAATACGTGATCTCATCTTTCTCGATCATTATGTTTTCTTTGTACCTCTCTTTGAATTAATTAATGTTTTTTTCCTTTACATCAATCCACGTGCATTTTTATGGAGATATATTTATATTAAATCAATTGATATGCATTAATTTATATTTCTATACCCTCCTTATATTTAGATTAGTCATTTACGTTCTACACATGCTTATAATTTTTTTTGGTTTAATTGGTCAATGTTCTTTGTAAACAAGCTTCAATTTCATATCTATATTTTGGCTGATTCCATATATATATAATATACAATTAAGAAATAACTGTACCCAACTCATCTTTTCTCTTAAATCCATTGGTTTCTGCAAATTTCATGCCTTAATTGGTTAATACTAATTCAATTCTTTTAATTGCACATAATTAGAATTTCGTGTCATAATATGTTAATAGATTTGTACATGTCACTTAATATGTTAATAGATTTGTGTGTTTCACTCGACTCACGTTATTAATTCAAAATAATATTTTACATGTGTTTGTATATTAATTAATGGTGAGCAATTGGATGTATTATCATTTTTTTTATGTTTAGTTATGAAACATTACATTAAATTTATTTTTAATTGTTGTTGCTCCTGAAATAGCACAACATTATAATTAATATTCCAGAAGAATATTAATCATAGATCTATTCGTTGTTGCTCCAAAAGTAGCACAACATTATAAGAATATTATTTGCTCCTGAAAAGCATAAATTATAACTTTCAATATTCCAAAAGAATATTGGCATATTGTATTTGAAGAAATAATAGCAAAATATTATGTGCTCCAGAAGTAGCATATGTTTCGAAGAACATATTATTTCAAATTAGTGTTTATCCCTAGAGAAAAACACGTAACTTAAAGTCATATTGATATTGACTATTTGATTAACATGTGATGATTAATTATATTCTTCGAAACTAATTGTATTTTTTTATTGTGTAGTTAAACAAATGGCAAATATTACGAAATTTGAGTTTGTTGCACTTGACATATCTGGTAAAAATTATCTGTCATGGATACTGGATGCTGATATCTATCTCGTCTCAAAGGGTCTGGGAGAGACAATAAAAGAAGGAAATAGTGAATCCCTGCAGGATCGTGCAAAAGCATTCATTTTTCTCCGTCATCATCTTCACGATGGATTAAAAATTGAATATCTCACTGAGAAAGATCCACGAGTTCTTTGGAAAAAGTTAACTGAAAGATTTGATCATCAGAGAACTATAGTCTTCCCCAAAACCCGTTATGAGTGGATGTACCTTCGTTTGCAAAACTTTAAAACGGTTAATGAGTACAATTCTAGATTGTTCAGAATATGTTCAAAGTTGACTTTGTGTGGAGAAAAAATCACCGATGAAGATATGCTGGAAAAAACTTTCTCCACCTTTCATGCCTCGAATGTGCTCCTGCAGCAGCAATATCGTGAGCGTGACTTCAAAAAGTACTCAAAACTTATATCTTGCCTATTAGTTGCTGAACAAAATAATGAATTGTTGATGAAAAATCATGGATTACGTCCAACTGGTTCTGTACCATTGCCTGAAGCAAATGGTACTACATTGTCTGAAACAAATACAATATCAAGATAAGGGCGTGGACGCGGACGTGGACACGGATACGGACGTATACGTGGAATAAATCATGGAAGAAATTATCAACAAAGTTATTAACAACAAGACAATAAATTCAAAAGGTACAAAGCAAACGAGAGTGGCAAATCTAAAAATGAGCATGAAGAAAGTTACTTCAGATGTGGAATGAAAGGACATTGGGCACGTACATGTCGTACCTCAAAACATCTTGTGGATCTCTACCAGAGAT